GTAAATAATTTTATATCTAATTTATAAAAAATTATCTTTATTATTTAATTAATATAACTAATACCAATTCAATAATATAAAAATGCAATCAGAAGACAATGCCTCACCTAAATTATTTTTTATTATCTTAATTTATGTTAAAACTTACTTTGACATGTGGGTAACACTGACATAAGTTAGATTAAATATTTTTACCCGTCACCCGGCCTAAATCAAGAATCGAGCGAAAATTCTGGAGTGTTGTAAAAATCTTTCATAATCAAATAAAATTGAAGCAAACAAAGCAAACCAAAAAGAATTAGTTTAAAAAAAATGTACGTCAAATGTTAACAGATCTAAATCATCGACACTTTCAGATTAAGTTAAAATCCACACCTAATCATATTGCATAATATTGTAAGGACAAAACATCAGAACCTGAAAATGTAATCAAGTCAAACCCTAAAAATTCTGTCACAACGAAATCTAACAAAAAATTACAACGCTGCAAAACAAATACTGAATCATTGATGAAAAATACTGAATGCTACAAGACAAATACTGAATCAAATACTGAATCATATATTTATATACATATATATTTAAAAAGTCTTTTTGTTTTGTTTGTCAAAACTAAAATTATAATTTCACCTATCACTATGTAAATTAATATTTACGGCACAAAATATATTAATGTATTACCCCATATCAAGAGTAACATTGAAAGTTGCACACAAACAAAAAACTTAATTGCCCAGTGGATAAGGGGCAATTAAGTTTTTTAAAAAAAAGACGTGTTTTGAATGTTCAAAAGACACAAAGTGGGGCAGAAATGCTTCATAACTAGACATTTGACAAAAATGAAAAAAGGCGTTATGAAACATTTTTTGGTGGTAATGTATAAAAGAACCTCTGGTCCGTCTTATCCTCGTATTTTTTTTAGGGTAAGACTGACCTTTAACCCTGTAGAACCCATAATCTAGCTCAATTTTTTTGTCTAAAAAATGACTCGCTTTTGCCAGTTATTATTTCTACTTTGTTTTTATAATGTTAAAGCTGAAGTTTGTTAAAAATTACAAATTTTTTTCAGGTATTCATCAATTTTAGGTTTGCCGTTATTTTTTAGCAATGAAACAGTGGCGAAACTATGGACACGCAGGGTCCGCAACTGTGGGAAGGCCCAGGCTAAAGGGGGCTAATTTTCAAGCCTGAAAACTATTTCTATTTGATTCTATTAAAAGTTATGCAGTGAAAAGTTGTGATCTTATTTGGTTTGTTTATTATTGAAACTTAATTTATATATTTTAACAAAGTTTAATTTATTGACGATTCCTATCTTTTTTATTATATTTAAATTTCAAAGTTTAAAAAAAGAGATTTAGCCAATGATTGCTTTTAATTTTCACATTTAGTTAAACTTTCAAATGTGGTAAAAAGTTCGAAAGAAAGTTCCACAAAGTTGTTTATAAAATTTTTGTTTTTGTTTTTTGTTGTGTAACACAACAAAAAACAAAATCGTTAATGATACAAATGATAAATTATTATAAGACCTACTATTTTTTTAAATTAAACATTTAAAATTTAGATTTAAAAATAAAAAATTTTGTTAACAATGGCTAGCAAGCCTCTAAGTCGACCAGCTAAACGTACGTTTAAAACACTTTGCCTTCGCGTCATACTCTACTTGGAGCTTAAGTCAACATTATGCAAAAATGTATTTACTAATTCATTAAATTCTTTTGAGACTCCAAGTAATCATAAAAATCTCTTTAAAGATCTAAATAAATTTTCCAATTCTGTTAATTTCAAATACTATGACGTTATTGATCTCGATAAAACTATGCATCCCAATTCAGAATTACATATTCATCTTAACATTGCTTCTCAACCATTCCACATTGATGAACTCTGTAGTCTTATCAGTTCTCTTAATAATTTTCCCTTAGCAATAGGTATTACAGAATCCAATTTATATATAAACGATACAAATAAAACTGATATATACACAAACGGGTTTAATATTGAGCATTGTCCTACTGAGGCTAAAAAAAGTGGAGCACTTTTATCCTTACGCTCAAATTTAAACTTCGTCGTTTGCAATAATCTTATGATTTACTTTTCTAAATATATAAAGTCTATTTTTGTTGAAATTTTAAAACCTTGTGAATAAAATATAATAATTGGCTGCATTTATCGTCATCCCTCAATGAATTAACATGAATTTACTTCTTCCAACTTAACTCCTCTACTTGAGTAGTTAAGTAACGAAAATTTTTTTATTTCTATTAGGTAATTTTAATATGGATTTATTAAGTCAGAATGAATATAACCCTGTTTCTATATATCTAGATTCTTTAACATCTTACTCACTAAGCCCTTCTATAATTTTACCATCACGCATAATGGCTACATCAAAAACGCTCATTGATAACATATTCACGAACTTTCATTCAACTGATCAATTCTCAGGTAACTTTACGATTTCAATTTAAGACCACGTGGCACAATTTATTGGCATTTCTGGCATACCCCACCAGCCCAAAAAAGTAAAAACTTACAGACGATGCTTTAAAAAATTTTTAAAAGTATATTTATTGAAGAAATTTCTGATATCAACTGGGAACTCTTCATTAAAAAAGATGATGATGTTAATAAATCCATGAATTTTATTTTAAAAACATTTGATGAAATCTTAAACCGACATGTACCTTATAAAATACTAACCAACCAACAAATTGAACTAAAATCAAAACCTTGGATTACGTATAGAATACTTAAATCTATTTCAGTTAAAAACAAACTTTATAAAAATAAATTACTTGCAAAATTTAAATTTTATAGAAACATAATTTCTAATTTATTAAAATTTAGCAAAAAAACATACTTTATTACTTATTTTAGCAATAATCTGAACAATATTAAAAACACCTGGAAGGGAATAAAAGAAATCATTAATGTTAGACCTTTTACACACAATACATTTTTTAAACTTAAATTGAACGAGAATCACTGATCACACTGCCGTATCTAATATATTTAATAACTATTTTAGAACTATACATAAAAAAACTACTTAGCAAAGCCATATCTTCTAAACGCATATTTAGTGACTTTCTTAACATTCCAAATGCTAATTCGTTTTTTATTAATCCGGTAACTGAAAATGAAATATCTGGTCTTATTACAAACACGCTTAGAGCAGAAAAAAGTCTTGGTCCTAATAGCGTACCTACATTTCTCCTGAAACTAGTCTCACACATTATTTCAAAGCCTTCACACATTATTTCAAAGCCTTAAAGTGGTATTTTCCCAGATATTTTTAAAGTTGCCAAAATCATACCAATATTTAAAAAAGGCTCTCTAATAGATTGCACCAATTACCGACTCATCTCTCTGCTTTCTAATATAGGTAAACTCTTTGAGAAGGCAATGCATAATTGGCTATATGCTTTTCTTGAAAATTTTAAATGCTTTTACACCCATCAGTATGGATTTCGTGCCAATCACTCCACAACTCATGCTCTCATTAAAATGACTGAACGAATTAGAAAAGCACTTGATAATAAATATTTTGCATGTGGTGTATTTGTCGATTTACAGAAAGCGTTTGACACAGTAGATCATTCAACTTTGTTGAAAAAATTAGGATATTATGGGATCAGAGGCGTACCGCTTAAATGATTTACTAAATATTTAAACAATAGAACACAATTTGTTTCTATTAATGACTCAAAATCTACCCTTGTAAAATATTCTAATGGTGTTCCTCAGGGTTCAGTATTGGGACCACTGCTTTTCCTTCTTTATATTAATGATCTTCATGCATCCATTAAGCTTGCTACTGTTTACTACTTTGCTGATAATACTAATCTAATGCTAATTAATAAATCCCTTAAATTGTCTGATATGACTCGCTATAAGCAATGAAAATGAACCATTTAACTCTGTAGCTCTTGTAAACTTTGAAGATACTCTGATAGAGGACATTATTCAATTATATAGTTTATCTAAATATAAAGAAATTTATTGAAATATATTACTCTCAAAAGTCACGATCGCTTGTCAAGATAAGAAACTTTTTTTTTAATAAATTCGTTTTTTGGCAGAAATTTACATCGCAGTTTAATAATATAATCTGTTCTGATAGGTCAATAGCAGTTTTTCTTAATTATAAGCTCTTTTTTAAAATATTGTATTTTGACAAATATATTAAGTTAATAGGTATAATTGTATAATTTAGTATAATAGATCAGAAATAGAATCTAAAGTGGATTAAGTCAATTTATAAAAAAAAAAAAAAAAAAAAAAAAAAAAAATTAACTAGCTTCTAATTAACGCTATAAATCTAAAGATTTCAAAATGGTATATAAAAAAAGATTTTAAAATATATTAAAAATAAAGAAAAGTTTCTTTAAATATTAAAATCATTAGAAAAATGTTAGAAAAACCTGACACAAAAATTTTATAAAGTTAAAAACAATTAAAAAAAAATAATTATAGTCTAAAGCGTATGTTTAAACATAATACACCGGTCAAATCATTTAAAATCCAAATTTTAGAACTCAAATATTTTATAAATCACCTTATTACACCAAGTTAAAAGAAAATTACTATTAAATATTTTTTGTTTACCTAAACAATTAAATTCTATTACTAAATATTATTAAATGTTTACTATGCAATCGGGTTTAACAAAGAAATAGTTAATCTATAAATAGAAATAGTAAATCTAGAAATAGTAATCTTGAATTGCACTTGATCTTAAAAAAAATTTAAAAAATTTGAGAGGTAATAGTTGCATCAATTTGTTTAAGCGTAACTTATTATTACGAATGTTGTCCTTTACATTTGAACACACAAAGAGAATTTTAAGGTCTTTTGTTTGGTTTTTAATAAAGATTATCCATAAATTACATCACACTCTAGGGGGAGGAGAGATTAGTGGTTTTGTGACGACTTGTATGGGACTTACTAAAAAGTAAAGATGTTGTGACGAATGAAGGGAGGGGGTTAAAAACTGC